CAATTCTAGGAAGGAGCAGCCACCCCCACCACCTCTGCCCACCACCACGTTAGCAGCAGGAGGCCTCGCCCCACACAACGCGGCTCTGACAACACAAACGGAGCCAGAGTGGGAGTGGACATGCTCACTGTCAACGGGGCTGTGCTTGAGCGCCTCCTGCAGCTCCTCCTGGGTCAAATGGATCCCCATGTTGGCCAGCACGGAGTCCAGGTTCCCCACATCCACTTTGTCCTCTGGGAACAGAGAGGAGATAACACTGGAATCCGCATTGGTTCATGATTTGTACATTTAACAGTCATCCCGCACAACTCAGCTAGGCACTATTCCCCTTCGGGCAGCCAGGACGCGCGCGAGATTTGATGATATAGAAATAATATCAATAATCCTTTGTCTTTCTCGAGCCGCTTCTATGTGAGGATCTCAAAGCTCTTTACACACATTCGTCAAATAAATCTTACTCTCGCCCTGGGAAGGGAAACTGAGGCACGGCGAGTTTAAGTGATTTGTTCAAGGTCACACATCATTAGGCGATTGGCTCAAAGTTTGTAGCAGAGGTGGGGAGTACAGGCCTGGTGTCTTGGCTTCTAGATCTATCCTGTAGCCACTAAACCATCCTTCCTGTCTGTACTACATGGTAAGTGATACTGAAACTTTCAAAGACTATGAGCTGGTGGTGCAATTCCATTGAAGTCTAAGGGAGTTACAGCAGGGAATTTGGCTTTTGGTGCTGGTTATTCATTATGTTCGACAACATGGTAGTGTCTCTCTGATGTCCTTTAGGCCGGCATTGAAATCGTTCAGCCTCTTTGCAAATTCACAGAGAACTTATCATATGCTATTCAAGTTGGGCACCGAATAAAGCAAGAACTCCCAACATGATCAAGAAAAAACCTGAAGTGGAAAGAATCCACCCATTAAAAATCCTGCCCTTCTGGCTAGTTTTTCCAAGACAGTTAACTGATGCCGTTGTTTCACACAGCACAGCCTCTACGTTTTAGATACGTAGTTATCTGTGAGCACGGTTTCTCTTAGGTTTGTATCCTGGAGAGCTCACTAATGTATCACATGGTTTATTATTGCTACATTCAAAAACTTCAGTTAAAGGAACACTAGTAAGCCCCCAATCCCATAAACACTAAAGCTTGTGCTTAACGTCACCGCTGTGACTTCATTGAGACTTCATGCGAGTGAGTCGGAGCCTGTGCATATTTGCAAGATCAAAGCCTAAGGTTACTAAGTCAGATACTCTAGAGTGAGGAGAGGCAGCAATTGAGGTCACTTAAGTAACCTTAACTCTGCCCCCTTATGTGGATTCATTAGGAAATAGCCTTTAATTCATAGATTCAAGGACTGGAAGGGACCTCGAGAGGTCATCGAGTCCAGTCCCCTGCCCTCATGGCAGCACCAAATACTGTCTAGACCATCCCTGATAGACATTTATCTAACCTACTTTTAAATATCTCCAGAGATGGAGATTAATTACCTGATCACATAGCACTTTCCCCCCCATTTGTCTCCTACCTCATTCAGTGCAGTCCCAGCTATCCATCTGTATTATTAGATTCTCACTTACCCTCACCTGGGGGCAATTTCTGGACAGTCTTCACCCCCTTCATAAATTCGCCCAAATTCACCTTCCCATTGGCTGCAAGATAAAACACAGCTCAGAGTCAAAAGAAGCAACACACACTGAAGTACACAGAGACCGATGGGAATTGACCCAATTGCTGCAGTTCAGGTTGGTTAGCACTGGACGGAGACACTTTCACTTAGCAAGTGACTAAGAGCTTTCTTCTTTCTAAAAGAAAGATGGATGGAATCCTTGAAAGGGGTCAGAGTTCTAGGATCGGAAAAGGGAGGGTATGACATTTAAAAGGGTCAGATCACGATCCCCTCTCCAGGGGTGTCAATCCAGATGAACTCTACTAAGCCAGATTCTCATGGACACTATGGTCACTTGCAGGGCCGGCTCCAGCTTTTTTGCCGCCCCAAGTGGCGACGCAAAAAAAAAAAAGAGAGAGAGATAAAGCCGCCATTGGTGGCACTTCGGCGGCAGCTCTACCGCGTCGCTTCATTCGGCGGCATCAATTCGGCGGCGGGTCCTTCCCTCTGAGAGGGACTGAGGGACCCGCCGCCGAATTGCCGCCGAAGACCCGGACGTGCCGCCCTTTTCCATTGGCCGCCCCAAGCACCTGCTTCCTTCGCTGGTGCCTGGAGCCGGCCCTGGTCAGGTGACACTATTCTAATTGTGGGTGCAAATGTAAATGTAATCCAACTTTAAGGCTCCTTTAAACTGCCAAGGTGGGGTAACGCTGCCTTAAAGTAAATGGGAATCAGTCAGTCAGTGCTCTGGTGGCAGCAGCATGACCTAGCTTTACCCCAGCGGAAGTGGGAGCAGAATCTGGGCCCAGGATTTATTTTAACCAGTGGGTTTTGGCAAGCACAACGCACAACCAGGATTTCAAATCCTCACTGTCGATTGTGCTGATTTCAGGGTGTGTCCCCACCCCCCCCGGCAAAGAACACAGAGTGCGTTTTGAAAGACTAACCATCAACAGTAGCACGTTTCAGCACCTCCTGCAGTTCCTCATTGGTTAAATGGACCCCCATGCTGTCCAGGATAGAGTCCAGGTTCTGGAGATCTACCGTATCCCCTAGGATAGGTGGGGAAGATTTAATCATTGGGGAGGTTTGGGAAGAAGAGAGTAATAATGGAATACGGCCCTCAGGAGCTGGGGCTCGGCTGTGCCTTTAAATGACTCTTCCCAAAGATGGAACCATGCAGGGGTACTGGTTCTGGGCTGTCTTAGGACCACATCCCGCAATGTGCTGAAATGTCCCCAGCTCCCAACAAGTGCCCAGAGGATAATGGCTTCTCCGGGGAGGCTGCCATTTGGGCCTGGATTTTCAAATGTACCCAAGGGAGTTAGATGCCAACGCCCATCGACTCCCAGGTCGAACCCTAACTCCTTTGAAAATCCCAGCGTGTGTGAATCTTTGTGCCACCAGGCACATGGGTCTCAGTACTGAGGCAACATTTCCGGCCAATCATAAAGCAGGAATCCAGTGCCACACACACGTGGAATGCCATGCTGATAGGTGCAGTGATTGTTCCATTGACACGCGGCTTTGTCCGCTTGGGTTGCAGTCGCCCTGACTTACTTTCACACTGGGAAGGCCGCCGGGTGCCCATGACGCTTTCCATAAAGTGTTTCAACTCCACCTTTCCGTCCGCTGCAAGACGAAACGCAGATCAGAGACAGATGGCAAGATAGAGGCTACGTCTGCCCCTGGCACTGGGGGCGTGATTCCCAGCTGGAGAAGACAGACTCATGCCAGAGATGATTGAGCTAGCGTGCTAAAAACTGGGTGCGACCACGGCGGCACAACCAGCAGGAGAGGCTAGCGCCCTCAGTATGTACCTGTCTGAGGCCCCAGGCCGGTACTCTGGGTCGCTAGTTCCTCCCACCCCTTGTGCTGCCATGGCTACACTCTATTTTTAGCACTAGTGAGTATTTCTCACACATTCCATGCGAGCTAGTGTATTTCTCTTCCAACCAGGAATCAAACCCCCAGCTCCAAGGGCAGACATGCCCACAGGCGGTGGCCTATTTACATTGCTCTGGCAGCACAAGGAAAGCTTTAAAGTGAGTGTAAATATAATTCACATTCACTTGGGGGCCTCTTTGCACTGGCTTTGCGTGTCCCAGTCTGTCTCAGCCAGACGCTCCAAAGGCCAGATCCAAGGCCTGGTGATGTCCATGGGAATCTTTGCAGACAAAGGCGCCAAAGGACTTAGGCCCGTTTCTGAATTCAGACAAGGGTGAATCAGGAGTAACTCCACTGCAGTCAGTGCAGGAAGGATCTGCCCCAGTGTCAGTGAGGGGCATCTCATACCCAGGGTGTATTTAGTACTAAAACCCATGAAAATGTGCAAAGGGAAATGGGGATTTCCCCACGATTTGTTGGACATTTTCACCGGACAGCGAGGTGGGGCTGGGAAAGGGGGCGAGTTCTCTGCGTCTCGATGCAGGGGGGGTTAGTGATTTATTCACACTGCTGTCCCTCCGCATTAAAAAGCAGGAAATGTGCCAACAAAATGTGCTTGGAGAAGAGGAAATGGAACTTTTTAATCCTATCTCCTAGAACTGGAAGGGACCTTGAAAGGTCATTGAGTCCAGCCCCCTGCCTTCACTAGTAGGACCAAGTACTGATTTTGCCCCAGATCCCCAAGTGGCCCCCTCAAGGATTGAACTCACAACTCTGGGGTTAGCAGGCCAATGCTCAAACCACTGAGCTATCCCTCCCCCCCTTTGTGGGAACACAGGAAAGGGACTAAAAGCGAACAATCCCGGAGGGGATCATCCCCCACACCATGGAGGGTTTGAGCTGAAATGGATCAGCTATCCCTTAGGCAGACTGGCACCAGCCCTGCGTGTTCTGACACGTGCGTGTGTGTGCATACGCCCTGTACAAACGTGCGTGCACTTGTCGGAACACTCGTGCACACGTGCAACCCTGGAATCTGGGCCTGCAGCAGAGCCAGGCTCTAGGCAACCGAGCTCCAGAGCCCAGGACCAGCAGCGGCTCCAAAGCATTTGCTGAGGATTCTGATAGATCCTGCTCCTGCCGTGGGCCCATAGCGTTTGTGGAGAATCCATTCTGTGGTCCGGGCGGGTCTTGGAGAGTTCGGAGTCCAGCAGCCGGGTCCC